TAGAAGCATTGTAGAAAATTTAAATAACTTTGTGTTTAACAACAACAAAAGCCTCTTAAATTCAACAAAAATATCTTGAAATGTCAACAAACTGGGCCCTTACAAAGTATTCTGCTCATAGGACACTAATACCAAAATGAAGTAAAACACCCAAAGATTGTGAAAAATATTTAGAGTCTATATCTCAGGCCTTCTATTTAAAATATAAAATCTGACAGGTTTGTAATAAGACAGAAACCAGCCCAATTAAAGCATGAAAGAAATTTAAAGTCACATTTCCGAAGGAAACATTGCAACATTAGTTATTAGGGAAATGCAAGTTAATACTACAGCAAGAGGCGGCTCTGCACCTGACGGAATGGCTGACTGACAGGACTGTACACGCCAGATGTCCATGAGGAACAGTGGAAAGGGACTCAGACACTTTGCTGATGAGAAGTGGGATCATAGAATCTCCTTTGAAAACCATTTGCCAACCTTGTTAAGAGTTAAATATCCATCAACTACATAACCTTGAAATAGCCCTTCTAAGTATTTTCCTAAGAGAGTTAAATGCATATGTCTATACTTGGTTGTGCATATAATATTCGAAGAAACTTTTTTGTAACAGTCAAAAAATAAAAATAACTACAATGTCCACCTATCATCTGTTTTTCTTTGCCCATTAGGGTTAGGGTTTACTACTTAGCAATTAAAGGAGTAAAGTATAGAAATGTGAAAAAATTTTGGAAGAATCTGAGAATAGCTATGTTGAGTTACAGAAACTATGAAAAGAAAGAGCATAGTTTGAGTTTCTGTTTATATACCACACTACTGAATGCAAATGTTTGAGAGTGTCAAGAGACAGAGGAATAGTTACCTTGCTAGAGAGTTGGGAACTGGGGAGAGGAGTTAATTAAAAAGATGCAAAGAAAACTTTGAGGTGTGATGCACTCATTGCCTATCTTGATTGTGGTGGTTTAGCAGAGGCACACATGCCAAAATCCACCAAAATATGTGCTTTGAATATATCCAGCAATATGTCAATAAAGCTATAAAAAATGTTAAAGGTAGCTGATCTTCCACACTAAAGAATTTGCTTCTTCTCCAGAAGACATTTTAACATGATCCTTTCATTGAAATTCGTCAATGGATTTGAAAAGTCATTGAAATTCCTTTTACAGGATGAAATAAGGTCAAAATGGTAAATATACGGAGTCATGACATACAATCCACCCTCCCCGTGCTGAACTGCGGAGCTGGAATGTGCTTCCCCACACAGGAGTGGGGGAGGAGCATTGATTTCCTCCTTCACTACCCAAAGGAGACCTGGAGCTCAGGCCTTCTGACTCAGACTGCTGGGACTGCCCCGGGGCTCTGCGGTCTTGGAGTTCCTGAGATGGATTTACCCCGACACTGTGGGCAAAGTCAACTGGGAACAACCTCAGAGAGTTCCAGAAGTGGCTCCTGGTCCACCAGCTGTGTTTCACGGATTGCACAAGAAAGAAAGGTCTTCTTTCTCTCTCTGTTTTATAACATGTAACCTCTGAATGCTCTTTGGGGTGTCAATACTTTTCCTTCTTTGCTGCCATTCCTTGTGAGTCTTACGATTTGCTACATCACTTTGTGATAAACTCTTGTAGCAGAAGTTTGAATGTGCACAAAATCATTGATCTTTTTCATCATCCAAGTGTATAATATCTTGACAAAATTTCCATTGTTAATCAGCGAATTGCTTCTCCAAATTGTCACTTCAAGAGATAGAAGAGCCTGTCTCACTCCAGTGTTGTTAATTTAGATTTAAATTTGCATAGTCCATCCATTCTTTCTTAGCTCACACATGATGTCTGCAGCAGGCCCCGCTGTTTTCCCCACCGAGCTGCCTCTCCCAGTCTGTTCCTGTCGTACGGTTGGAAGTTGCCTTTGCCAGGTCTCCCGATGTGGGTGTTGGCCGTGGCATGTGGACGTCTTTTGGAGGCGTTTGTGTGGATGACACTGTGGATGAGCAGATGTCTTCCTCTGGGTGACGTCTTGTGTGCCTGTTTGTGTAGAAACTGGTTACCTAGAGCCCGTGCTGAAGCTGCAGAGGGGAACCCGGGATTGCCGAGCCGTGGACAGCCTTGCTCTGCTGTGGACTTGGGCAGGCCCGGAATTGCCTTGCTGGGGGTTTCTACTCACACAGGACAAGGAATAGCCACTCGATTTCAAGGACTTCTTGTTGACATTTGTCACTTGAGTCTAGACATTTATTTTCTGGCCAGTTTCTTCATTCACTGTCATTCAATAAGCTTTCTGTCTTTACTTCAGGCTTGAGGGACGATGGGTTGAGAGACCCAAAGAGATTGCTGCAGACAACGCAAAGTTTTATTGATTGTGTTTCTATTCTAAGGCTTTATCCAGACCTACATTATACTTCATGGTAACTTTCACTTGATGGGGAAGCATTATGCCCTTTATAAGCATGTGCAAAATTCAGTGGTTTGGATTCTCTTCTTATTCTGAATCTTCAACTTGCGTTTAGAAAGTCACTTAACAGCACTGGCTGATTTGTAGGTTGATGGACAATGGTAGCATCTTTCTTGAACTCTGAGAGGATGATTCTTTCGATAATTAATGAAAACGACAGATCTTGTGTCAGAACAAAAATGCATTAAAATTTCAAGATATTCATGAATCACTTCTCAATACTGAGAGCTGAGTGGATTCATTCATTTATGACCTGATTAGCTATTTTGCACCTGTGAGTAGTTAACTAGAACTGGATCCAGTGAAAAAGGTGCAGTTCCTGCCTGTAAGAAACTTTCACCAAGCATGGACCAGCAGTCTTCCCACGTTGCTCAAAGGGCTGAGACGTGATTTCAGGGACTTGTGGGCCACCTAATGGTTCCCTCTTCCCTGCACAAGGTACCTACATTAAAGAGGGTTTGTTTTCTGGTGCTGCTTTAGGTACTGCTTGGAGTATGTGACTATCTGAAATAAAAATTGCTCACAAATATAAAGTACTTATTGTTCCCAGCATTTTTACCTTCACTTTCATTACTCACCCCCAGATACTCCCCGACCACGAGTCCTTTACCAAATAAAGCACACCATGTACTTGGAACTTCAATAAACCAGTAGACTTTTATGGTACAATAACCCATTTCATGTCTTTTTCGATGATGCAATTCTGGTTTGAACAGGAAAATTATTTTATAAGTTAAGATTGTGCTGAATTATCTGTGTACATATTTATTTGAGAAAAATCCATGTCTTTGCTTTTGATGTATTTTTGGGGCCCCTCTGAAGGAGGATGGGTCAGATGATGGAAGCTGGCAGGCACTGATGGCTCTATTTCACCTGCAGTTTTCTCCCTGTTTAAGCTGAAACCCTTGTAAATCCCCCCCTCCCCCACCGTCCTGTCTTATCTCCATGAGCTCACTTGTTGCTAAGTCCATTGGGCCCACGGATGCACAGAAATGTGGCCCAGGAGCATGAATGATGAACCACATGCAGTGTTTCATGAGCACCTGGTCCCGGAGATTTAGATCGCAGGATGTGGCACATCTGAGCTGACTCCATAACAGGATGAGACCTTTGGTGACCCTGAGATGGGTTAATGTGTTTTGTATTTGGCAAGGCCATGGATCTTTGGGGAGCTGGTGCTGTTCACATGTTAGTCTTGAAATATTTGAGTATGCTATGTCACACAGCAAAGGGGATTTTACAAATATAACTAACATAACAACTTTGAAACTGGGAGATTATCCTGGGTCATTAGATGGGCTCAGCCTAACCCTAGGAAGCCTGAGGAGCAGAGCAGTTCCACCACAGGGAAGTAGAGACAGGCATCCTCAGAGGAGGTCAGAACCTCCCAGCACCAGAAGGGCTCCATGCTCCATTGCTGTCACTGAAGGTGAACGGGAGGAGGATCTCAGCCCTGGAGATGCAAGGAGCAGCTTGAAGAGCCCTGGCACGGGTTCTTGCTGGTTTCCACACAGATGTTGATCTTTGAGATCCCAAGTGTTATAGTATATGTCTAGGTAGCTCCCCAGGTCTCATGCAGTCATGGAGGTGGCTGAATGTAGCACCTGTGATTGGTTCATTTTCTAGCACTGGGATTGGCTGTGTGAGTACTGTCCCCACCCAGGGGTGGAGCTGGCATATAGCTTAGTGGCAGGAAGTAGGCATGCTTTCCTCTTTTGCCCTTCACTCTTGTTGCTTATGGCCCCCATGAATGGCTGCCCCTCAGCCACACTACTCTGCCTTGGAGCCAGTTGAGTAGGGACTGAAATCTACAGAAACTGTAAGATAAATAAGCTTTCCTTGCTTCACTTTAAGCATCAAGTATTTTGTCTCAGCAATGAGAGAAAAGTTACCAAGACACCAAGCAGAGACTCCACTGAAAACCTTTGTCTCAGTCACTTTCTCACTGCCAAGACACCACACCCAGCCTCAGGAGGGGAAAGTTTTTGGCTCATAGTTTTAGAAGTTTCAGTCCAGGCTCAGCAGACTCAAATGCAGAAACAGCACCAGGGAAGGGCTGCCCTGAAGGAGAGCAGCTCTTGGACAGCAGCCAGGAGGCAGGGAGGGAGATGCACATTTCCAGGACATACCCCAGTGACCACGTCTAGCCAGGCCCCACCTCCTACCAGCAGTCAGCCGTGAGTCTGCTGATGACCGCAGCAGCCCATGACCATCACTTCCACCCCTCCCAGAGCTGAGAGGAGTCTGCATCCCAGCCCGTATCCCGTTAGGGCTTTGGAGGACACTTCAGACCCGAACTGTAACATGTGGACTTCTGACCTTTGGAAACTGAGACTAATTTTATTGATTTAATATTATTTTATTTTGTTTTGTCTTTTAAGACAAAGTTTCACTATGCAGTTCAGGCTGGCCTTGAACTCACTTTGTAGCCTAGGTTGGTCTTGAACTCACAGCAATCCTCCTGCCTCAACTCCTTTGAGTGCTGGTATTACAGATGTGTGCCACCGTGGCTAGCCTGAAGAATTTTTATAAAAATGTTTAATATAAAAAAGCTCTTTAAACTTTTTTAATTTTTATTTTGAAGAAAATAAAACCAAGCAAAATAAAACAGAATAAAGCCAATGAAAACAAAACAGTGTGATACAGCACTTCAAAACAAGATACTAGGAAATCAACAATGGTTACCATAATGCCTCTTGTTGCCTTCAAAATAGCTGCCCATATATTTAAATCCAGTAAAAATCAAACAAAACAGAACAGAATAGGACCAATAAAAGTAAAACAATGAATGCAATAAACTTCAAAACAAGATAATAGTAAATCCAAAATGGCTACCATAATATATCTTGTTATCTTTGCACATGCCATCAGATATAACAAAATCAAACATAACAAAACATAATAAAACCCAACCCAACAAAAACAATGAAAGTGATACAGGACTTCAAAGCAAGACAATAGGAAATAAACAATGGATACCGCCTTCAAAGGAGATCCCCATAGAGGCTAGATTACATATTGTGATCCTCTGAATTGATGATCAGACTACTGCTTTAGACCTCCAAAGCCAGTCCATGGTCAGCAGACTCAAATGCAGAACCAGCACCGTGGGAGGGCTGCCCTGCACTACAAGCAGTGAGCTGTATTTTACCTCAATAGCTGTCATCACCGCCTGCGTTTCTCTGGGTCAGCTCAGCTGGTCACTTACGGTGGGGGATCGGGACCCTTGGCTCTTCTAGCCTCTCAGCCCGTGCTCCAGAAGGGGCTGGTGTGTGCTTGCCCCGCAGTGGCCGGCACGTGGGGCTGACTTGCACAGAGTGCTTGCTCCTGTTGCCTTCTCAGTCTCCTCCCCAGCAGTGGCACTGACTCGTGGCAAAGGCTGGCGTCTCCAAATATTCTTTCAAAATAGGTAAAGCTCATGGAAGCTTTTCTGAGGGTGATCATGCTTGTAACTAGCTCTGGCCCTCTGTGTGCCGGAAGCACTGAAACGTGAGTTTATGACTTGATTCCCCTTCGGACCCACAGGGAAGGGGTTGCACACCTCGGGGGCTCCGCTCTGGGCCTCTTCTTCCGACCGCTGAGTGAGCAGTCTCCACACCTGACAGGGTGTGGCCCACCGCTCTCCACAGATGCCTCTATTTAGCCTTAGTCCTCTCTCTCCTCTCTCAGTCGGCTACTATGAAAGCCTTCACCCATCGGAGCCTCCTTTAATCTTATCTTCCAAAATCTCCATCTCCAAATACTCCCTCACTCAAGAAGGGTGGGGTTTCAACATGTGGACCTGGGGAAAGGGTCAGACTGGCAGAGTTCAGTGCACAGCAGCCTGCTGTGAGTTTCCTCTGGCTTCCCAGCCTCACCCAGCCTCGGTGCCATTAACAGGGCCTTTACTGCTCTTGACTGCAAGGCCCCAGTGCTAAGGTGCCTGGGCTATTACCCTCTAACAACCAAACCTGGATGGAAATAAAGGGCAGGCAGTGGTTAAGTGGGTCGTGAGAGCTGGGGCGAGACTGTATCCAGCCTCTCCTGGCTGCACAGGAGCCTCTGTATGTTAGAAGACCTGGCGATATGAGATGCCCAAACGCCCTGCTTTCACAGCTTCCCCAGGGGGAGATCAGCTCTCGTGTCTATCTGGCACACATGGAACATTCTCTCTGTGCAGCCTGGGGTTCATGCCACCCGGCCTTCTGAGGGACACATGCCTGTACCCACGGCTTCAGGCCCAGTGGCTGCTTCCCCTTCCTGGCTCATTTCTGGTCGATAGAGATGACAATCTTTGTTGTTCTTGCTCTTTTTTCCTGAATTGTTTTCTCTTTTTATGGATCATTTTTCATAGCTGTACTACTGTGGCTCCTCTGAATTAAAGCATAGATTTCTAATGCCTTTCTGCTGAGTGTCTCAAGATTCAGAGTTGATAACATTTTGACAAATACTTGAAATATACTTTGTAAATTCTGCTCTTCTTGTATTTCATACTTGATAAATTAAAATGGCAGTTTTCAATTTTCCCAATGGATAATGGAAACACATTCTGAAAGCAAATATAGTCCAATTTGTATTGTCTCTGTGACTAACAAGATTAACATTTACACACTTAGAGCCTAGCACAGTGCTTTTCATACTTTTTTAAAAAATTAATTTATTTATTCTTGAAGTGCCCTGGATTTGAACCCAGGGCCTTCACATCGAGTGACATTTTTGTATTTTTTTACTTTGAGACAGTGTATCCTCAAGTTGTTTAGGCTGAGCTGGACTTTGATCCTCCTGCTTCTGCTTCTCAGAGTGCTGGGATCACAGACATGAGTCACCAGGCCTGGCTTTACTTTGTTCTTTAACTAACTCATAAAAATACAGGAGTTGTGCACATTACTGTGGACCAGATAACGCTGGATGCATGCTCTCACTGTGTGATAGCTAAGTCATATTACACATATTTGTCTCCTCAATTAGCCCTTCTTTATGTCGAAAACTTCCCACATCCTCTCTGCTGGCTGTTGGAGATTTCCAGACCACTACTGTTAGGGACAGCGTCTCTGTTTTGCAAGGACACCAGAACTGCTTGTTCCTCTCCAACTATGTCTTCCTACCCATTGATCACCGTCTCCATGGCCCCTAAGCTTCCCAGCCTCCGACATCCGCCAAACCCTAACATCGCCTTGTGTGAGCCCAGGCAATACTCGTCTTTGTGTGCCTGACTGATGTCACTGAAGCAATGAGTTCACCCCTCCAAACTGCTGCAAATGAGAGGCCCTGCTGTGGAAGGCTGCACGGTACCTCATTCCGTATGTGCGCCACATTTTCATCCTCCATCTGCTGATAGATGTAGGCTGTTTCCGTTTCTTGGTCATTGAGAAGAGTGCTAACAGGAACATGCAGCGCACAGGTTACTCTGGCACACACCACTGACTTCGTTTCCTTTGGGTAAATCACCAAGAGTGGCTTGTTGGACCATGTGAGCGCTCTGTTTAATGTACGGTTTTCCATGATGGATGTACTAATTCGCGTTCTCGCCCACCATGTGCAGGGGCTCCTTTTCCTGCACAGCCACACCAGCCCCTCCGTGGACTGCTCTTTCCTTTATCTTTTCTCCCACGGTGCAGGAATGACTCATTTTGGTTTTGATTTGCATTTCCCTGATGAGTAATGGTGTTGAACGTTCATGCATTCATTTGTTGGTCATTGTGGTCTTCTTTGAGAAATGTCTATTGAGATTGACTTTCTAAATTAGGCTTTGTTCTTGCTTTGCTGTTGAGTTTGTGGAATGCCTTACGTACCTGCCCATGCCTGGCCTTCCTGAAAGGCTAAGCAGCTGCATACTCCTCTGCACCTGGAGTCCCTTTCTCTGACCTAGTGACCGCAGGGCTGTGGAAGGGTGGGGTAGAGAAAGGCCCTGGCCACTGAGGCCAGCACTGAGCTGGGTGAGCCTGCGTCTCACACACAGCCTGCTGTCTCTGTCAGGGTCCATGGACCCAGGCCCTCTAAAAGCCAGGAACAGAGCTACGGCTGTGGCCTGCCTGGCGCTGGGTTGGTTTTGAGGCCCGTGAGAGCTCCCGTGGCCCTGGGCTTTGCACCAAGACTCTTGCAGGATCCCTGGAGATGTGCACCTTCCTCACTGGCCCCGGGGTCAGGGGAGGAGGATGGAGGCTTCAGGGTGCAAAGCACAGGAAGGGTACGGGCTGCATGGTGTGCCACACAGGCGGGGGCCTCATGGGTCTGGATTTGCCCCAGTGGGGTCACCAGTAGCCTGGCCCCCCCATCCGCTTCCGGTGTCATGTGGGTTGGGGGTCATAGAACCCCCTTCCTTCTGCCCCTCGGTGCTATGTGCTCTGAGGCCAATGTGCCTGTGCTGTGCCCTCCCTGTCCCCCTGGCTCTGTTGAAGGGACTTTGGGCCTGGGTCACGTCTCAGTGTGGACCACCCAGGGGAGCTGCTGCTGTGTTCCTGCTGAATGGGGACCATGTGTGCTGACCCTGGAGGGCTCAGTACCCACACAGCATAGGGTCTGGGACCTCTCTCAGTGGTGCCAATCGACAAGCAACAAAAACCACGAGTAGTGTCTGTTCCATTTAATAACAGAGAGTTCCAGCCACCACGATGGTTTATCTTCTCTCTCACTAAGACACTGCATCTAAGGAGCTGTTTCAAAGGCTTCATCACACACCGCAGGGCGCATTGGCCGTGTGCTACACAGGAGTGGCTTCAAGCATGGACAGCAGTCACCATGGATGCCACTGTCACTTCACAGAGCTGTGAGAGACCCCGTCCAAGGGCTGCGCATCATGTGTGCTTTGAAACTGTGTAACTATTTACAAATGGAATAAGATTCACCCCCACATCAGAACTTGTCAAGAGTCAGTGGATACAAACCTCTTCCTCAGGGCCTCCCTACGAGCTCTCAAAAACAGCAGACTCAGGTACCTGAAAACAGGTCCTGAAAGCTGCAGAAGTCACCCAGGTTTTAACAGCTACCGCTCTGAAGTGCTCATCTGCCAGAGCTCTCAGTGGAGCCAGACTGGGGAGGGAATTCCACACTGCTGGTCCTAGAACAGGGCGTGTCAGCCAGTACAAGTGGTCCCCTGGACACCCGACAAAAACTTCTCCAGAAGGACAACTGCTTTCCTAACTTTTTAAAAATCCTGTCAGTTCAACATTGTATGCTTACATTTACATGCACTACAGGAAACCTGAGTTCAATTAGCGAGAAAACACAGAAAATATTCCTCAGACAGCATTATTTGGTGAATATTTATTTCTTTTCCAACTCATTTGAACAAAACGGAATTGTTTGTGATGGCACAGACGAACTGTGTGGCGTGGACTGTCCACAAGGTCCTCTTGTCCCTGGCCCAGCAGCTTGTGGCTAGACAGGATGACGACACACGGCTGACAACGGGGAAAGAAATCATTTAGACCCATAGAGCAAGTATAAGCATAGCACAGAGACCAAAATACCCCAGCACAGTGCTGCAGCTTATAACTAAGCCATTTAAACACAAACAGAACACATTCGGTTTGTAACGAAAGCCAGTACATAAAGCTATCTTCCCAAGGGGAAAAGTTTCCAGCTTAAATAACACTGCTACAACTAAGTGTTTGTGAAAAGTCCCTTGTATATATCTGATTCAAATGCAGCAATTGTTGGCCTGAAAAGTGAGTACTTTTAAAATGTAACTCAGCATGATGCTCTGCTGAGAGGAAAATAAATGGGCCCATTATTATTATCACGAGTGTAGCACTTTCTACCTGGATCTCCAATAACTACACAGCACTAAATACTTTAAAACATATTTGTCAGGTTAAAGACAAGTCATTTTTAAGGACAACAGCTGCTGTGTTGGTTTCATGCTTAACATTAATACTCAAAAAGATTTATTGTACTGTACAAATTTTACAGATATTCATAACCACTATGCAGATTTACAAAGCCCTGCACACACCCTACAGCAGACACCAAACAGTCAAACATCCTCACGATCCAACCGTTTTGGGGAGGGGCATCTCTAACTTATCCATGGAGTGCCACTTACTGAACAGGCAATGACTTTCTGCTCCGTTCTCCTTAGTCTATGAGGGCCTATTCTCTTTCCAATCCCTGTTTCTCCGAGCTGGCAGACTTGCACTGACATGTTCAGTAACCATGAGATGGCAGTGTGGAGTGACAGGTGTGATGTGGCCCAGGAGCCAGAAGTAAGTCGAGCTCCTCCGAAGGAGTCTCGGTCCCCAGGTCCCCAGATCATGGGCACCTGCGGCAGAGGCAGGAGAACCTCGGCTTGCGTCCAGGTCGGTCTGTCCTCCAGGCCTCTCCATCACCAGACGAGGCTGAGGAAGAGTGACTGCAGTGCCGTGGTGACCCTTTGGACCGGGGCGGGAAGCCGCGATTCTCCAGCAGCTGGCTGCTCCTGGATGGTGCGCGTTCACCTCGCCCAGCCTGAGGGCCAGGGGTTCGAGTCCTCCTCCAAGCCAGTGGATGTCTGCTGGTGCGCCCTGTCAGGTCCAAGGAAGAGATTCCCCTCCACTGCTTTTAATTTTCTAAGCCTGCGCACTTCTGAAAGGAGAACCTAGATTTGAATTCTAAGCCCAGATAGAGCAAAGACTGTGGCAATATGTTTCTGATGTGGGTTTCAAATTCTCCAGAAAGTTTGAGACTCATACATGAGTTGGTTTGTATTTTGAGAAGGCAGCAATGGTTAAAGACTGTGTGTGTGTGCACGCGTGTGTGCACTGGCTGGGGACTTAACTCAGTGGTTCTAGCACTTGCCTAGTAAGTGTGAGGTCATGAGTTCGATCCCCAGTACCAAAAAAAAAAAAAAAAAAGAAGTGTGAGTGTGAGTGTGTGTGGTGTGTTTGTAAGTGCCGAGAGACAGACAGAGGGGAAATGTGACAGGGCCTGGACACGTCTTTGGAACCCCTCTCCTGCTCCCCTCATCCTCCCTTGGCTTTCCTGTTCTCTCAGCTGCTAGTTAAACAGGCAGGAAACCAGGAAGATGAGCATGAACACATACACATACGCGGCTCAGGGCTCCCCCAGCCTTGGCCCGGAGCCCTCAAAACCTTTGTATCAGATTTGCTTCAAACTAGCATTTTCATAGTTGAGATAGAACTTATTTTCCCGAATCACCTCTGGTACTTTACATAAAATGTTTACATTCTGAGAGTCATTTTATTTTAGTTGAATATCTTCCGTGTGCATTTAATTGCTAGAACTCCTGCCATTAAATGTAAGTATTTTACCAGCTTTGCTTAGTTCACAAGCAGCATCACTGTTGCTCTGTGTACTCAGATTAAAATGAATCCTCCTGCCGTCTCTGCCTTGTCCCTTTATTCAAGTTCAAAGGTCCTGTTTTTGCTTCTTGTGTGTTAAAGGAAGAATATTATCAACAACCCTTGCTTTACTCACTTATCTGGTCACTTTTTCAGCACTGCAGATATAAACCTTGGTAGGGAACCTATGATCTGTGTCAGTACAGCCAGCTCCCTTAATCGGGCAGGGTTTCACTGAGGTGCAGCTTTAAAAGATGCCTTCAGGACCGGCTGTTTCCAGCCACTCTGTGGGCAGGGATGGCATCCTGCGGACGCCTGGGGCCCACAAGGGGGGTTTTCTGCACCTGTTCAATTGCCATGGGTTTCTATCTGGCAGATCTGAAACATGGTGGATTGTCCAAAAGAACTTACATTTCCTCAGAAACATTTACGCACTTACTAACTTTAAAATGAGACTGCTGGCCAGTACCAAGTATCAACACTTTAGCTTCTGAGTTACATAGCCTACAACTTTGAGGGCTAAGATAAACATATACATTACCATGTAAATAAAAATGCATGATTGTTCTTATGTGTAATGCACTTGCTTTTACTTTTTCTGTGAATGCAGTGTTTTTGAAAATTTGTATTTTAAAAAGGTAACTGTTAAGTATTAAAACACGATAGGAAAAGTCCACGAGAATTGAACATTATCAGAAATGGAAACTTTGGCAAAAGTGAAAATGCTTTGAATACCTTGTAGTTAAATGAATTCATGAAACAATTCCCTCTGTGTTCATGTAAAACAGAAGAAAATTCGAGAGCAAAATGTTTTAACAGTTTTCACAAATAAATTATATTTCCAGAATACCTTTAAGCATTCAGGTTGATTTTTTTTTTTTTTTAAGAAAGCATCTAAACTTCAATTTTAATGGCGTTTCAGTGTGGCGATCGCATCATGACTTGGGAAGTACTGAATCACCTACAAACATACCACCTGTGTGTGAAAGCAGGCCATGACGCTAGCATTTATTTCCGTGAGCTCCTTCTGGAAAAGGACCCGGAATAGATTTCTTTACTCACACTCTGCTTTTAGTTCTGAATCGCTGTAGGAGAAAAAGAAACGCAGGAGAATATGCTGTGCGGTCACAAGAGGGCAGCGGGAGCCTTTGGGTGAGAATTCTAACCCAGGTGCTCAGGTCCTCTCTCCCCTGCAGCAGGGCGGCTGACCTCTCCCCAGCCAGGGCGCGTGTCCTGTGTCCTCTACAACCACGGGAAACCTGGACGTTTACTTTTAAACTTTCCACGATTGTGAAATTTTGCCCATTTTCCTCCAATGCTGTAACAATCGTATGTCTTCTGAGGGTAAAAGCGATCATTTCCATGAACAAACAGCTCAAATTCAAAACGACAGCCACGGCCACGTCTTTGATAAATAGAACGGGAGGCTGAGGCAGCGCGCTTGCAAGCTGGGCTGGCAGCGGCTGGGCTCCCGGTGGCCCCCGCCCGCCCGCCCGCCCACGGCCGCGCCTCAGGGCTCCCCCGCGCGCCGGGGCCGCCGGTGGGGCTCGGCCTTGGCCCGCAGCCTGGGCTCCTTCCAGGCGGGCGGCGCCAGCCGCAGCTTCCTGCGCCGCCGCTCGGCGCACCACACCTGCTCGCAGTACTGCTCCACGCGCCGGAAGCCGCCGTAGCCCAGCAGCTGCAGGAACTCCTTGTACCAGGGCTTGGCGGGCGCCACGCTGCCGGGGGCCGGGCAGGGCGCCTTGCGCGGCCCGGCGTCCCCGCGGAACACGTCCCGGACGCTGCGCTCGTCCACCACGTCCAGCACCAGCCTGCGCACCGTGTGCACGAAGCCGTGCTCCACCGCCTGGCAGATGTAGGTGCCCGCGTCCGACCGGCGCACCCGGAGGAACAGCAGCCCCAGGTCCACCTGCAGCACCCTGTCGTCCGTCTGCACCTGCAAGAGCGCACAGAGTGCCCAGGACAGGGCTGGGGCCACGCCGCCTGCACCCGCTGCTGCGTCCTCTCCACAGCCCAGGCCACACGCGACCTGCCCGCGTGGAAGTGCCCACTCCCGCATGTGCGTGCAAGTGTGAGCGTGAGTGCGTGTGTGCACATGTGAGTGCGCATGTGACCGCAGCCCCACTAGAGGCCTCTTCCTACTACCAACGCCCTTGATGTCATTCTGTATCAGCTTCCCAGAGCAAGGGGAGAGGGCTTTCTCCCTAATGGATCAACTGAACCATTAGAAAGGAGGCTGGAAGGAGGGTGTGGTCACTCTTCCTGTGGGACACCACAGAGTGGGCACACCCGCACCTGGATCCAGGCTGCTCCTACAGCCCGGGCATGACCACGCCTGACGTGAGGATTTCTGTGTAAAGGGCCAGGATTTTGTCACTGTCTTGCCTCACAAACACGTCTGTCGCTTACTCCAGGGAGCCTTCACGACACTTCTGGAAGGCCTGACAGAGATGAACCTAAACAAACGCAGCGCAGAGTCCGCTGCCACGCGCCGGGAACTTGGCAGACCGCGTGAGCTGAAGGGAGCTCAGGGCACTGGGCTCAGCGAGGCCGGGCTCACTAAATAGAAAGGGCAGAGATGCCGCAGTGCAGGGGCCCTGGGTCCTGTCCTCACGACTGAGAAAAAAGGGTACATTACTGCTCCAACCTTTTTGTAATAATTGTGTCAAAATTTACTATATCATAAACATTTATGTTAATGACGTTCCAGCCAAATAGAAACCAAACACCAGCCTGTCCGGCCACAGACACTAAAATCGTGACATCACTTGAGGAAAGTGTGGGGCACACTGGGTTGTCACACGGGATGTACGGCTGTGGCAGGTTTTGCACACATATGCACACCCACATAGCAGTTTGCTTCCCATCTTCATGAAGACAACTATGAAAAAAATCATCCTGGGAAATAATCATTTTAACAACGTATAGTTGTTTTATGTTTTCCTTATAAGCCGATTTTACTCTGAATGACTTATTTGGAATCTGAATAAACCTGTGAGCACACAAATGTGTGTTGTTTAATGGAGCTTTTCACTCCTGTTGTGTGTGCACGCCAAGGAGACACCTGAGCCTGGAGGGCGGGAGGCGGGCGCCCAGCGGCCCCCAGAACCTCCCTGTGTGGC